CCAGGCCAGACTACACCTATTCATGCTTCAGAGGAATCATGGCTGGCAGAAGGGAAGTTAATCTGAGAATTTGCATTTGAGGTGGTTATACATCTGGGGAGGTGGCAATCCCACACAATGGTGGCATACATGTCAAAGGGGGAAACCTTTAATCGGGAAGAAGTTTCATTAGATATTGATATGTTTCACCCTGCATAATGTATACATGCTCCCAAGAATTAAATAGGCAGAAGGTAAGCAGGGTGATACCTTTAGGGCATTTATACACCTGCTCTGGGAGTGGCGGGGAGGGAGACACTTTAATTAGAGCAGTTCCAAGAGCCACTCTAATTAAAGTGCCTGGATTGTCATGTGTATCAGTGTCCCCACATTGAAACATGGTAGCAGGGGTGCTTTAAATAAAGCTTGTCAAACAAGCTTTAAAGTGCCCCTGCATTTTTTTTGCAGTGTGGGGACACAGATACATGTGACACGGGAGTCCGCTGGAGCATGGGAATTACAGCGTGTTGAAGCAGACTCACTGCATGTATATAGGTGCCCCTAGAGACTAACTGGTTCAGAGCTTTCATAGAAGCTTTGTCAGATGCTCTGGTTGGATTTTCAGAAAGAAGTGCTTCTAAATAGAAGGGAATTTGAATACAAAGGATGGTGGGGAAGGAAGGCAATCCTGTCTGACACGCCTGCAATAGAATAAAAGCAGACTTTGACTTGCTCAGAAAACCCATGGGCAGGAGCTCGGTAAGTCAGTCTGAGGTGGGGAGGAGTCCAGAAGATCTGGCTGGACTTTTAAGAAGCCTTACTGAGAGTGCAGAGACACACCATCCCAATGTGCAGGAAGACTAGCACTAGCAAATATGGCAGAAGACCAGCTTGGCTTAGCAGGGAATTCTTTAGTAAACTAAATAAAAAAAAAAAGGAAACATAAGATGTGAAAACTTGGACAAACAACTGGAGAAGAGAATAAGAGTATTGCTCGGGCATGTAGGGATAAAGTCAGGAAGGCCAACATGGAATTGGAATTGCAGCTAGCAAGGGACATGAAGGGTTACAAGAAGGGTTTCTACAAGTATGTCAGTAGCAAAAAGAGGGTCAGGCAACGTGTGGGTCCCTACTGAATGGGGGAGGCAACCTTGTGACACAGGATGCAGAAAAGGCTGAAGTGCTCAATGCCTTTTTCACCTCAGTCTTCACAGGCAAGGTCTGCTCCCCAACTACTGCACTGGGAAGTACAATTTGGGGAGGAGGTGAGCAGCCAACTGTGGTGAAAGAGCAGGTAAGGGACTATTTAGGAAAGCTGGACACATACAAATCCATGGGTCTGGGTGGGATGCACCCAAGGGTGCTGAGGGATCTGGCTGATGTGACTGCAGAGCCACTGACCATCATCTTTGAAAACTCATGGTGATCAGGAGAGATCTCAGATGATTGGAAAAGGGTAAATAGTGCTCATATTTAAGAAAGGAAAAAAGGAGGATCCAGGGAACTACAGACCAGTCAGTGTTACCTCAGCCCCTAGAAAAATCTTGGATCAGATCCTCAAGGAATCCATTTCTAAGCACTTGGAGGAGAAGAAGGTGATTAGAAACAGTCAGCATGGATTCACCAAGGGCAAGTCATGCTTTACCAACCTGATTGCCTTCTATGATGAGATGACTGGCTCTGTGGATGCAGGGAGACTGCTGGATGTGGTATACTGTGATTTTAGCAAGGATTAGGATACAGTCTCCCACAACATTCTCCCAGGCAAGCTAAGGAAATACAAGCTGGATAAATGGACTGTGGATAGAAAACTGTCTGGATCATCAGGCAGGGGTAGTAATCAATGGCTCAACATCTAGTTCATAGACATTAGGGCTGGAAGGACCTCGGAAGATCATTGAGTCCAGCCCCCTGCCCAAGGGGCAGCCGGTATCAAGTGGAGTGCCCTACGGGTTAGTCCTGGGGCCGGTTTTGTTTAATATCTTCATCAATGACCTGGAAGATGGCATACAGTGCACCCTCAGCAAGTTTGCAGATGACACCAAGTTGAAGGGAGTAGTAGATATGCTGGGGGGTAGGACTAGGATTCAGAGACCTAGAAAAATTGTAGGGTTGGATCAAAATAATCTCATGAGGTTCAACAAGGACAAGTGCAAAGTCCTGTACTTAGGATGGAACAATCCCATGCACCAGTACAGGCTGGGGACTGACTGGCTGGGCAGCAGCTCTGCAGAAAAGGAGCTGGAAGGTACAGTGGACAATAAGCTAAATATGAGCCAAGTGTGCCCTTGTTGCCAAGAAGGCTAATGACACACTGGGCTGAGTTTGTAGGAGTGTTGTCAGCAGATCAAGGGAAATGATTTTTCCCCTCTATTCAGCACTGGTGAGGCCACATGTGGAGTACTGTGTTTTGGGCCCCCCACTAGAGGAAGGATGTGGACAATTTGGAGAGAGCCAGAAGAGGACAATAAAAATGCTTCCAGGGCTGGGGCACATGACTTCTGAGGAGAGGCTATGGGAACTGGGCTTATTTAGTCTAGAAAAGAGAAGACTGAGAGGGGATTTAATAGCAGCCTTCAACTACCTGAGCAGGGTTCGAAAGAGGATGGACTGAACTGTTCTCGGTGGTGACAGATGACAGAACAAGGAGCAATGGTCTCAAGTTGCATCAAAGGAAGTTTAGGTGTTGCCCTGTGGGGTCAGGCCAACTCTCAGGATCTCAATATTGTGCTGTTAGACAGGAGGGTGTGACACAATTGCACATATACAAACACACAAATCATTTAGGTGCATACACACGCACACTACCAGCTCAGGTACATACACATTCAAACCAGGCTAGGCATATGCATACCTATCACCAGTTCAAGCACATACACTATACACCCCAAAAGTTAGACACAGATCATTAATTCGTATATCACGCACACAATGCCACACACACACACACACACATACACTAGCACCTCAGATACACACACATTCAAAATAACTAGCTTAGGTTCATGCACACTTATCACCAGTTTAAGCCCATACACGCTACACACCAAATTTTAGACAGAATCAGTTACCAGTTACCAACACCTGCACATACGTGGATTACTAATTCATATACTACACACAATGATATCTATATATAAGTATATATATGTGTATTCACTAATTTACACACACACCACCCACCTACACATACACACAGGTGAGTTCCTAAGTTGGGTGTTGTGATGTGTATGTATGTATGTGCTTGATGTACTTGAGATACCTGGGAAAAGGTTAAGGTAAGAAAGTAGAAGTATAGGGAGTGAAAGTTACCAGGACCGGGATTAGAACTGGTTGTTTACAGGGGCCTGGGCTGAAGAACTGAGGCTTGGGGGAATTTTAGGCTGATTGATCTTAATTGATTAAAAGACAACGCCCAAAGCCTACAGAACAGGGAAGCGATGCTGGCACAGAAGCCAGAGCTACAGGGGAGCTGAAAAGGTAGGTGGGGAGAGGGAAAATGGGACTAAGGGAAAGTGTGGGTGTTAAAGAGGGGCTCTGGATGTGGGGAGCAAGAGGATGGCTCCGGGGCAGCTAGAGAAATTGCAGGGAGCAGCAGTAGGTGCTTGGAGCTGGAGAAAGGCTCCAGCTGTTGGAGAAAACTGCAGGATAGCCACAAGGAGCTGGGAAGCTGCAGAGGGAGGGTGGGGGGGGATGACTACAAAAGGTGTGGGGAAAGCCTGAAAACAGAGAGACGGACAGCAGAAAAATCACAGGAAAAGCAGCAG